TATTATCTTTATAATACATTTTTGCTCATGATTATATGTTTATTATTGCTGTGTTTATCCATTGATTTTCCCCTGCAGTTTTCTCTTTAACTGCATATTTAGTTGCATAAGCACATTAAAATGTATAATAAATAAGGATTATCAATGCAGTTTATATTTGATCATTTATTTTATTATTCTCTTTCAGAAGAAATTGCATGTTTTATCCCGGACATGTCTGAAGACCCCAAAGTGCATCATGTCCCAGTGTATTCATTGGTGCCAGATGAACAGATCAGTGTACAAAGTAGTATTGGTGCTGAAGGTGAGCATGTGGATATTGTGGATGGGTTTTCCTTTGTTTCATTTAATAACTTGGAGGAGCTGAATACATATACACAGAAACAGAGAGGGAAATTAGATAAGAGACACTGTCCATGGTTGAAAAGGAAGTTGAAGCGGAGAAAGAAGCTATTGAAGGCCAAGAAGAAAGGAACAGAAGAGGTGAAGAATTCAAATGAAGAAAAAGGAGACCCAAGCATATCTAGTGAACATTCCCAAGAAAGTAGTAGTTTTAACATTTCTGGAGCATTTTCAAGGTAAGGAACAGGAGTGCAGATGTTCTGTATAATGATAATATTCATCTTAATGAGACAGTTTGGTTCAGTAGACAGTAAGTACTTATTACTTTTTTTTTACAGCAACGATTTGGATACTTACCTGAACAACAATGCACATCTCAATATAAGCTATGCCATACCCAAGTGCAAGTAAGTAATTGGAAACCTTTTTCTGTATGATTATTATTATTATTATTATTATTATTTTTTCAATGATTCTCTTGATTTATCAGGACAGAGATATAAGTTAGTAATTGTTAGTGTTATTTAATTAATGCCTAGCCTTTACTGTACTTCTCTTAAAGAATCACTTTGACTGCCAAGATTGATTTAGTTGCCCCTGTTTTTTTATAAAAAGCATATTTAGAAAATATTCTATATAAGATATGTTTAGCTACATTAATTTTTTGACTCTCTTACATAACCTAACAACTTTTTATATATGTGTATATTCATGAACATATATTTAAATACATCATATAATTGATTGCTTGTTTTACCATATCACTAAATAGGACAACAGAGGAGGGAGTCACTAGACTTGGGGAGGACGAACTGCTGGAAGATGTTAAACGAGCTGAGCCACCCGTGAGCTTTCCCAACCCAGTGCCAAGTGAGAGCCAACCCAGTGATACAGGCAGCAATGGAGGAAGTCTACCCACAGGAGAGATGGAACCATTGTCACATGACGAGATACATTATGAAGAAGTTAATGCTATTGATATCTTATATCCAAAAGAAAAGTATAAATATTATTATAACAAGGATTTATGTAAAGAAACGAAAGCAGATGGGTCAAATGTATTTGTTCGGAGAGCTGGGAAGTTGGTCCCTCTCACAAGTGTGTTCAAGAGTCAGAGAACATCAATGACCGAATCCAAAAATAAGAAAACAGTAGAGCTTGTGTATGTTTATGATGGAGGGAAGCTTCTCACACTTGGCGGATCTCTTACAAAAATTAACCCATCAAACTCAGACTCAGTCCGTGCTAGAGTGATATTGCCAATTGGTGTGCCACCTATTGTTAAAGGAGATGCTGGGCAAACAAAGACAAAGAAAGTCCAGGCTGTAGAGATTAATGAGGATCTAGCCAAATTTGCTTTATCAGCACTTCAGAATCCAGAGAGCAAAGACGTAAAGATGCCAGAAGAAAAAACTGAAGCAAAGCCAGAAATTGAGGAGAAGCCAGGATCAGTTGTGGAAAAAATAGAAACAAAAGTAGATGAACCAAAACAGACAGTTAAAGACAAATTAAAGGAGCCTCCCAAAATAACAAAAGTCATACCAACTAAAAGAAATATACTAGACATCATTGCTGCAAAGCTTGCAATGTCTGATGATGAAAGTGAGGAGAAAGAAGAAGAAATAGAGGAGAATCAGCCACCAAGAGATGGAAGTCTTATTGTAGGAGCAGATACAAAATCAGAAGAGGAAGACACAAAGGAAAATGTAGTGCTAAAAGATGAAGATGAAAAGAGCAACAAAGCAGAAAGTGTGAAGGAATGCATGACCCAGTCAGATGAAGAAGATTCTGATATAAAGAAAAGTAAGGAATCAGATGTCAAAAAGACAGAAATTGAAAATGAAGATGATTTAAGACCTAGAATGAATATGGATTTTGACTCCAACAAAACAGTGGAAGCTACAAAGCAGGAAACAGAATCAAGTGAACATGAAAAAGATACTGACACAGCAACAAAGAGTAAAGAATTTGAAAATAAATCGTTTAAACTATGTTCCACAGGTGATTCTGAATATGGAGATGAAAAAGAAGTAGCAGGAGGAAAAAACAAGATAAGGGCAGGTGCTCTGAATATGCCACACAAAGATAGCAAAACTGATTCACATAGAAATGAGACTAAAAACGATGAAAGGTATAAAGAGACACCAGCTGCCTCCTC